GGGGGGAATTTTGTTTCGCCTTTTGTTTGTAAATAAACTTGTATTTTTGTTCAATGTCCGCGTGCATGTGTGTGCGTCGGGGAGGTGGGAGGGGTCCAGTGGACTACATTATGCAAGTGCTGGAAGTTAATTTCGTCATGGTGTATACTTATCCTACAGGTATGTAGGAGAAGGCCCATGAAACAGAAATAAATACCCAATTTATACCACGATTTATAAGGCTGGCTTCTGACCCTCCCTGTCAGGGCCCATCCAGGCTGACAGGGATATTCTGTTTTAGAGTAAGCGTTTTACGGCACTCGCAACACAATAAGGTCATATAAGTGCTCGTCAATTTTGGGGCACATGGAGCTACTGGTAGCATCTTAAAGCCTGTTCATTTGCCTTGATTTGAAAGAAAAAAAAATATCCTTCTATCTTGAATAGGAGTCGAGATATTTGCTATTGAAAGAGGTGGGGGTCACCGGTGAAAATATACAGTATTTGTCCCTTTGATCAACGTTTTTCGGTAAATTCAACACAGAAACACGTTGTCAAATGGACATAAAAGATGTTGAGCCTAAAATTTTTAAAGCGATAAAAATAGTTAGACCAGCAGAAAAATTGCCAGTTTCTTTGATTTCAGTATTTTGACGAGCGCCTGATTTCACCATGATGCCTCACATATTATATCTATCTTATCTCATCTATTCTATTTTATCTTGTCTTCTCTTGTCTCATCTATCTTACCTTATCTCATCTAATCACATCTATCTTATCTTATCTCATTTATCCTATCTTATCTCATCTATCTTATTGTATTTCATCTATCTGATCTTATCTCATCTACCTTATCTTATCTTATCATACGATACTCACTGTATATGAGAGGCAGAGTTCCTATGTCTGTTTTTGCAAGATTTGCTAGAAAAGGGTCTGAGGGTATCACAACAGCTGTCAGACTTGCTCCACTTTGAGAAGACCTGGCCCGTCGTCTCACGAACAGAGTGTACACGTCGCCAGTTCGGCCGGTACAATAGCAGGCGTCAATCGTTGAGGGTGAAGTGACATTACAGTTAGAGATGTCCACTGTGCACAGCTGTGTGAGGAAAACATCATTTCAGACAATGGACCTCTCTTTTTTTTAAATTTCGCTCATTCAGTATGTAATTTTTTTTCTTCTCCACATTTGAGACCTTTGAATAATTGTTTAACACTTTGCCATCACAAGGATCATAGTAAAAACTCTTGCCACCCCCCGGGGCAGTGCCACTGACTGTAGTGTCTTTAGACCATTCCCAAAGGGGGGACACTTCTCGTTCAAGCACAGTAGAATTGTAAATGGGCTGATTCATGTCATGCTCATAACTGTGCCTGATCTACAACAGGGAACTACTGCTTTTTCTTTCTTAATCCTTACTATTGTCATTTTCCTCTACTTCTTTTGTATGTTTGTCACTCTCTTGTGACCTGTTATTTCCGGGGTGCCTTGATAGTCGAAGTAGACCTTGTGCTGTTGAGGCTAGAGAGGTGAGCAGAATAAGTCTGATTCCCAGTAAAAACTTCTCTGTTGACACCCACCCCTTGGCGCTCATATGACCTTATGCAGTTGCGAGCGCCGTAAAACCCTCTACTATAAAAAAAAACTCTTGCCATCAAAGGCAAGGGCATTTTGGGGAAAATCCAAAGAAACTGGGTTGCAACCATTGCCAATCAGCGAGATAAGGCGGCAAAGTGTTAAGTCAACCATCTGTATAAACCGTTACTTGCTTCCAAATCAAACCCTCCACCCCCCTGTTTTAAGATGGCTACTAGTCTAAGATAGGGCTAGGCAATGAGTCGCTTTAGCAAAGTCCAGATAATATGTTAGTGCACCTCTTCGGCAAATAATATGATATGAACGGCTTCGGCAAATGGGTTAGAACCACTTCGACAAACGAGTTATCACTATTTCAACAAATGGGTGCTCCCACTTCGGCAAACGGGTCAGAAAAGAGAGGTAAGAGTCTGAATTCGGATAATGGTTCATTGATATATCCAGTTATCCTTATAGATTATCCGGGTTTTGCCCACCTCTAGTCTAAGACTGCCACTTTTCTCCCCAGACCAATGTTAGCTGTGTAATTAATTTGCGACCCCTTGTATAGTTTCGAGGGAGTGGAAATCAAAAAACGCCTTTCAAAGATGGTGAATAGTAAACATTACTGTGTTCTTTTTTCCAGTCTTCTTCCTTTTCATAAGAAAAGTTTCATTACGGAAGGGACATGGGAATGGGCTCATCCTTAGCTGAGCCCGAAAGACATTTGATTGGCTGTTAGGTTCCAACAGTTGTAAGCGGTGGGTGACAACAGTGATTGGATAAACGAGCAAGCTGCCAGGTAGATCACTCGTTATTTAACCCTATCCGTACGCCTGGGGTCATTTTGTACCCCCGGGGTTGTAGTCTTCACATTTTAGAATACTTCTTGGGCGAAGATCTCTTTGAAACTTTCAGTATTTCTCAAAAAATCATTTTGACATACTGCTGTGCAAAGCGTATGGATCAGATTAACTCTTTTCCTACCAGTCCAATATCCACCACTGGCCCAGGGCTTTTCCCTGGCCTATTTTTACACCCCTACCCCACCAAAGGAAAATGTAAAAACATCCAACTAAACACACCCAAACCATATCATATGGCCCATCAAACTGAAGGTTAAAAAATAATCTATCAGATGGTGATACAATATTGAAGATTTATTCCAATTATATTAGTTTGGGGTTTGTAAAAGTGATTATGCAATATCGAAGGTGTCATATGAAATCAACAATTTTTCCAGCTTTTAAAGATATAATCTAAAAAAGTACAACAACAGCATCATTCAGACTTCCCAGGTAGATTGCCTCAAGTAATGCAAAGAAATGCTGAAATAAAGAAGTGAAAATATGAGACATATACTGAAGTCAGGGGAGCCCTTTTCTTCTCATTTTTACTGTTCGAAGGGGACAAAAAAGTGCTGAAATGACTGAAAATCGTCTCTCAATGCTATATTTTCTTTCGTATCTGCTAACAGGAAGTCTATTCTATTATTTTGATAACTTGGATCGGCCAAGAATTTAATTACTGGATTGGAATAGATAGCGAGCCACTCGAGCCGTATTTTGCGGCTCTCGGTCCAGCGAGGCCAGGTCCGCAAGCCGCAAAATACGGCTCACGGTAGGGAAAGTGTTAATGAGTAAACTTCCTCTTTGGAAAGTGGTGGCACAGAGTTCTCCACATCATATGGATACGATAGTAAAACACGATGTACGGATAGGGTTAAGAAACTTTCATTCACTTTGGTATAGAGTAGGAGGGAGGGGGGGGGGGGGGTTGCTAAAGCCCATGAGCCCTTCACTACCCCCGCCACTGTCTACCTGTCCATGACAATTGCCCCACACTGTGCGTTTTTGAATTCTCCTCTCCCTTCCCCCCCCCCCCCCCACCCCACCACCAAATCTGATGACACTGTCCAAGACATTCAGCTGTCTAAGACACAACTTTCTTCTCCTCGACAAACAATGTCATTCTCAAACAATTTCGGTTGTACCTTCAAATTTTTCTTGGGAAGCCAAACAAAAACAATCTGAGACAATTTCTATGTTCAAGAAACAAAACAGGTGGACAAGCCTTACCTCAGATGTCGTCTGTATGCTGATTTGCGGATTAGCGTCGACCAACTCAGCAGCAGTTATCGTTAATGTGCCTTGTGCAGACCAGTTGCCGTTGAGATTCTCCAGTCCACATGATGGGTCAAAAGTGAAAGGATCAGCGGCGAAGTTAAATGTTTGACCAAAAACACCTGAAAAGTAGAGAATAATTATAGCCATTACTGTCCACTCCCAACTTTCTTCAAAAGGGAAAAAAAAAATCAATTATATATATATCAATTTGATTTTTTTTTTTAAACAACACATTCCAGTTCATTCTTTCACAATGTTAAGTGTCTATCAAACTGACTCTTTGTTTCCTCTCCACCATGCCTCTCATACACAAGAAAGCTCAACATTCAGCACATTTGCATATTTGCAAACAAAAAGACAGTATTAGACTCAACTAATAAGGGGTTAAACAGAAAACATGTGTTTGGCATTATAACTGCCCATATATATTTTTATATATATATATATATATATATATATATATATATATATATATATATATATATATATATACAGAGAGAGAGAGAGAGAGAGAGAGAGAGAGAGAGAGAGAGAGAGAGAGAGAGAGTAGCAAAAGTAATGGAAAAAACAGAAAAAATGACAAAAAGGGCAAAACTCTCCTCTAAGCCATTTAACAATACTTTTATATATATAACTCTCCACACAAACCCAAGCCTCCCCCCCCTCCCAAAATAACTCTGCAATCCCCCCCCCCCCCCCGATTCCCAATAATTAGTCAATTTTTGGGCATGTGGAGTTTGAGTTACTGGTACCACCTGAAAGCTGATTTATTTACCTTGCTTTCAATGAAATAGATATATTTATCCATCTATCCAGGGTTGGTGATTTTTTTGATTTTTTAAATAAAAATTTTTAAAAATCGATTTTTTAAATTTAAATCAAGATTTTTAAAATTTAAATCGGATTTTTTTGATTTAATAAAACCAAGGAAAGGAATTCTGAATGTTCAAATATGTAAAAACTGAATACATTTTTTAAAAAGTGATTTAAATCACTGATTTTTATCTAAAAAATCAAGTTGATTAAAATATTTTTAAAAATCAACTGATTTAAATCAACCCAGCTCTGATTTCAATTATGGAAAAAAAAGAAAATTTAATACTGTATTACTTTACAGTGAAAGGAGGGAAAGCAGACTTTTAAGCATGAATATTAGTCTACTAAACCTTATATCTGTTTTATGAAACCAAGGAAAGGAATTCTGAAAGTTGAAATATGTAAAAACTGAATAAAAATAAATTTTTTTTAAAGTGATTTAAATCATTGATTTTTATTTAAAAAATCAAGTTGATTTAAATCCAAAACATCAACTGATTTAAATCAACCTGATTTAAATCAACCCAACCCTGCATCTATCTTGAATAGAACTCGAGATATTTGCGATTGAAGGAAGTGAGGTCGCCTGGTTTCTGTGGTGAAATTAGTGAGAAAATGGCCGCCAAAGTTTGGTAACTCCCATAGCTAGAGTCCTTTAAAAAAAAAAGTAGACATTTAATCAATGTTTTTCAGTAAAATTCACATGTGTTTTTATGGACATAAAAAGAGGTTGAGCCAAAAATAAAAATTTCCAAACTGGCAGAAAGATGTATATATATATCTCCAATACAGGCTGTATTTTGACGAGCGCCTGATTTCACCACGATGCCTCACATATTTGTCAGCCAGCAGTTCAATGAAGGCACTGAGTCAAACATTTTGGCAATTTTTAAAACAGCTGCAGAGTTTCTTAATCGGTGGTATACTATAAGGGCTCTATGCATCTGAGAAAAAATATTTTGACGAAACTATCCTGAATGTTGTAATAAAAAAACAAGAATGAATTTTTTAAAGTGTTAGTTGTTTAAATAAATGTGACGCAGGTTGTTCGGCACATTTGAAAAGCTTGTACCAAAAATAATATATCATACTCTACGAACTGTATATTTAATAAATTTAAAGCTAAATACAATCATGAGAGAGAATTGGAATTCTTTTTTTTTTCTTTATATAAAAGTGAAAGTGTTTTTACACCCAAATTGCTACAATTTAGATCAGAAAATTAGATGGGGGGTTTCCGGCCCTGCATGTCAAAGAGGCCAACCCCGGCAGACAGGGATGCAATTGCATATCTAATAAATCCTAGCGGAAAGAGATCAAGATACTCAATAAAAATTTCTCCCCACTCAGGAATCAAACTCAGGTCTCCTGCACAACAGCGAAGTGCCTACCTCTACACCAAAGATGCCGGTATTACAACGCATTATGTTACAGTTACACAGATAATGCTTGAAGCAATATATATATATAACAGAGAAAGTGGGAGTGAGATTATAATCTGCTCACAAAATTTAGTTTTATTAAGAGTTTTACAGCACTTGCAATCAAAATAAGGTCATATAAGTGTCGAAGATTAGAGGTGTTACAAGAGAGTAACAAACACAAAAAAAGGAGGGGAGATAAAGACGATAGATGTTTGATAGGAAAGAAGAAGCAAACCACACCAGAGCACTTGCCAACAAACCCACCCGCTCACGATGAAGAGCTACATTTTTAACAAAAATATGCACAGTCACGCCACTTCCTGTACTACTTTCAGACTTACCCGGTAATAAACAAAAGAAAATTCCGAGAAGCAAAATCTGCCTGGCGGCTCCCATGATGTTCAGCTCATTGGTCCTGAAAAAATGGACAGAAAAAAAACTTTCATTTTTATTATATCATATATATATATTGTCAGCATTTACACTGTGGTTTTGGGTCCATCCATGGTTGGCCAATTTCACAAAAATTTAAAGAAAACCCCTAAACTTTACACGTGGGTTTAGTTTAGTCTATGAGTTTTACTACAGCACTTTCAACACAATTTTATGGCATACATGATCATAAAATAAAAGTGCCGAAGATTTTAAGAGGTCACTAGTAGAGAGTAAAGGGGAGAAGTTACAGAATTTAAGGAAGATGGACTGAGTGAAAATTACAAAGAAGTAGCAAACCTCACCAAAGCACCCACCAACCACTCACTAAATTTGGACTTCATTACTTTTGTCTATAAAATCAGTCCAACTTACTTTAACGCACACCTGTACCATCATGAATAAGATTATTATATATATATATATTATATATATACCTCCTCTATAAAAATTACCACTTCCCACAAAACTTCCCCCCCCCCCCCCCTTCCACAGTCAGTGTGCCACACCTTTCATTTTACTGGTAAACCGAGAAAACTGTGATTTCTAACTATAAGGATGTTTCAGTTAACTTATATTTTTAACCACAAAATTGTACAAAATTTGGACGATGGGACGATGGTTTGGAGACTCAGTCGAGAAATCAAGCGCTGCTTGATATTTTACGTGCGATCACGGTCAGATTTGAGGGAGACGCGCTGTGACGTGGTAGATTCACTTTGAAATTTGCCACCACTCAGAATAAAACCTCAGGGCTCAAAATTTTTTAAAATAATTATCATAGGTCAAAATTGATTTCATATTCGGAATCAGCATATCAAAATAAACAAAATTGCTCTTAAGGAACTTCTGATTTGGTGCGTTATTAATACACATATATTTTATTTTAGCAATTTTATTATTTACTTGATCGTCAAATGGTTAAGCTGTGCATCAAGTTCACTCGGTGCGTTGCACATCAGCAGTCAAGTCAAAGCTTTTACTGAACTACACACAACACGATACAGTATGGTCACCCTTTTCTAAAGACACTGTTCTGCTATATTCAAAATGTACAGAGGGGGGGGGGGGGGCACTCGTGATCTAGAGGTACAGCGTTCGCCTGTCATTCATTAGGTCCAAAGCTCGAAACCTTCACATAGAGTACCTGTACAGGCAAATCGCTGTCATCACAAAGAGACACGGTGGCTTTATGACGAGGAATCTCGATTGAAAGAAAACTGGACGACAGATTGGAATATATGTAAACAGACACACAGTTCGATAAAATGGACAGTTCTGTCATACGACGAATCTGATACTATTACTATTTAATCTATCATTGCGCGTTACCAGGGCTATAAATATTTCAGAGGGCTCAGAATCAGTATCAGTTTACAATTAGGACATAAAAATAACTCCATCACTACGTATTATTTTCAGCTTGTGGAAGAATTTTTTTCGGGAGGGTGAAATGAGATTGTGACTAGTGCGCAGTTCACAGGTCTTTGGGGTCACAAATTAAAATAAATATCAGCATATTGTTTCAAAAATTTTCAGTATAGTTTGTAGAATTAATACATCTACCTGTAATGTTTATTTACTTACAAGTAGTATTTTTCAACTTTGGTTTCCTGTAAGAGGCGACTATGCAACACAGTTTTGCTTGGATGCGGATAAAATTTGAAAATTTTAATTAAATAATCTTTGGTGAAAGTAAAAAAATGGGCGCTTTTTCGGTAGTTCTCACCTCGAAATTGATATTCTCGCCGGTTTTGGCCTCAAGAGTAGGGGGGTTTCAGGAGGGCTTGCCCACCTGACTTTTTAAAAAATATGGAGGGGGGTTTCAAGGGGGCATGCCCCCCTGGATTTTACCATAATTTGATGTTTAGCAGTTGTTAGGTTTGATATCTTAGCTCGCCGCGCATCAAACGTATTGATCTCGATGTAGGTCAGGCTCAAATAAGGGGGGTGGGAACTACCGAAAAAGTACCAACAAATGTTTGTCTAATCATATGTCTACATTTCATAAAATTTGTTAATTTGGACGATATAAACATCCATATCGAAAAAAAAAATGTTTATAAACTTGAAAAAAGGACATTTAATGCATTCACAAACAGAAAAAAAAAACGCTTGTATCTTATATAATAATGGAGTTATTCAGAATTGCATATAAACCTCTATATATGTCTTGAGTGGTACTTCTTGTGTAATTTCACCAAAAAAAAGTAGCAATTTCGGGGAGAAAAAAATAATTTGATGATGTAGAATCTACTGAAAATATTAGATCTAGAATCTAGATCTAGATCTAGATCTCTTGATTTCTAAATAACAGAGAACTGGCAATTTGAGTATAGATCTAGATCTAGATCTAGTATTGATATCAATATTCTAAAGAAGAGCCCTACATATCTTTAGTGAGCAAAATAATGATACATTTTGTTGCGTAATAAGAAGACTGGTGTCTGGGCTATAATTTGAGCATCGCTATAAAAAAAAGTCACATAAACTTCGAAATCGCGTTTCAAAATTGAATCTAAACTTACGATTTTCGGTAGATCTAGAAATGCTTGATCTAGAAGTCAACGTTTAACTTTAACCTTTATTTTAACATGATGTGGATTGGAACAGATCTCTAGAATTACAGAGATCGGTTCTCGGCTTGCCGTAGCGAAGTCACTTTCGCCGCGCCGCTGCCCACGGCTCAGCATAGCGAGTGAGTTAATCATTTGACTCATTTGAGCCTTTGCCAAAAGGTGGGGGTGTTTGCATGAGTGTTAAAAAGCTCACAACTTGTCTTATTTTGTGAGTAGTCGCCCCCCTGTTCTATTCTAGTGTTAGTTGGGGGGTTTCAGGGCCCCTGGCAAAAATAATTGGGAGTGTATACAGACCCGGTAACCGGGAACAAAGTCACAAAGTATACAGACCCGGTAAGGGAACTCTTTTGTGATTTCGGAGAGTTTCCAGCGCCCTCTTGGCTCAGGGTAGACCTAGGTTCTTCTAGATCTATGATGGTCTAGATCTAGATCTAGGC